GGCCTAAGGTATCGTTCGAGTTGCCATAATGGGAGTCGATGGAGCTTCATGATTAGAGGATTAGAGTGTGAATAAGGCTTCAACCAATTGAATCACCCAATTGCTTGGGACATTTCCGAAAAGGGTAATAGTTGAATTATTAAGTTCAATTAATCCTGGGCAAAGAGAGAACTTTAGTAGGTGACCAACGATTTTTTATCCTTAATCCAAGGTATAGATTAATATCTGGTGCGACCGTTTCGATTTTTGATGTTGTAATTCGGAGGATTGAGGCGGGTTGAAATCGTCGAGCTTCTTCGGAATTTTTTTGCTGAGTAAATGAAAAGTTGGTAAGATGATTGGCCGGTCACTTAAAGATAAAATGTTAAAATGGGTGGTGGGCATGTGGGGTAGCTGAGTGTATTACCTAAGAGCTGTGGCAGTTCCAGTGGCAGTTGTGGCAGTCGTGTGTGGTTTCTGTGGTTGCCGTGCACATCAATAGTGGGGGCTGACAGTGACGTTAAATGGACCGTGCACAAACCTTGTTGTTGATTTTTGGGAAATTGTTAGTGCTAGCGCGGTTTTCCACTCATCCCTCAAAAGCTTTGGAGCTAATTCTTGAATTCTATTATTTGCCCACCATCAAGCTTTAAGCTGTTCAAGTTCGACTCGACTCCCACACCTTTGCACGTCGATCTTCGAGTCTATTCTCGCGTCATTTGTGCCATTGAATTCTTTAAGATAACTCATTTATTTTGGAATTAATTTCAATGTCATTCTGACGTCGAGTAACCGCGCGTGTTTTGCCCTTAAAATCCGACGTGTTGTGTCACGGTTCGTCGCGTGCCAACTAAAGGGTCAGGGTTCGGACATAAGCAGAATACCTTGGGCAACTCGGCTCAACTCTACGAGCAACATCGACCTGACGAAGTCTTTGAAACCCTATTAAACTCGACTATATTGTTGTCGCCGAGTCAATTTGGCCTTGGAAAACTAACTAGTCAATTAATTGGTCAACAAGAAACACCAGTTGGCCATCTTAACCTTCAAATTGCTAGTCTAGGCCGCCCACCGCCAATCTCCACCCCACACAACATTTCTATGAGTAATACCTCATTATATGGCAGCCGTATCTTTATCACCAACTCCTACTCCTCTTTCCACCATGTCTGGCAGACGAGTTCCCCTTTCTACGAACCAGAATGTTGCCAATTCTCCCCTGCGAAGCTCAGCGCTCCTAGCTAAGCATAAACGCCCCGCAGCCCAGGTACAGCGTGAAGAGCAATATGGCCAACCACCTCCCGCTAAGAAACAGATAATCGAGGGCGGCTCTCAACGTCCATTGAAGTCTCCTTCACAGCAGCAGCATCGTGTCTCCAGAAGTCAGATTCCTATACAAACACGTCGCAACGCGAACAGTTATGAGAGCAAGTTAGCAAAGGAGAGATCTGGTCATCACCATCAGCAGGCCGTACCTGCTAACCCTGGATACACCGAGAAGGACGTTGAAGAGATTCAAGTCTGGCAGCAACATCATCGGGGTCGATTCCCGAAGCTTGTGTTTTACTTTGAGAAGGTCCCTAACGACGCACACAAAAAGCTCGCCAAGCAAATCGCAGCATTGGGTGCTGTAAGTTGCTAGGCTCGTTTAATTCTGATTAATATAGTTGGCTAACATGAATTCCCTATAGCGCGAGGCCGCATTTTTCTCTATCGACATCACACACGTTGTCACTACCCGAACGATCCCCTCCGAGAAGAGTATAAGCCGCCGAGAGGATGCACACGCGGTCAATGAGAAACACACAGAGCATATTCAGGAGCAAGAGCAAGATCAGGAAGAAGTGAAGACTATTAATCCATCCCTTCTAACCCGATTAACAGAGGCTTCTACAAAACGTAGATTTGACGGGGACCTTCGGGCCCGAAAAATGCCATCTCAGACTCAGATCGAGCCCCCTAAGCGCAATATGGATGTTCTTCTCCGGGCTAGAGAAATGGGAAAGAAGATTTGGTCGTTGGACAAGTTGCAACGGATGTTGGACCTGCTCCTTGAGACGGACCCTTACGTCAGTGCGGAAATCGCTTATGGGGCGCGCAAGACGAAGACCATCGAGGCTCGCACTACAGAAGACCGAAACTTACTCCATCTCCTCCACAATGAACGTGTTAATGGACCGTCTGACCGAGATCCCACCGTGAACGCGCAAGAGCTGCATTATTTTAAGGGTCCGTACATATACGTGTACGACTTTGAAGAGAAGCAGAAGCCAATCATGGTTAGAGAGTACAAGAAGGTTGCTGAGAAATCTAAGGGTGACTGGCCTCAGTTCCGGACTGCTGCTCTGGGACGTTGCCCGTTCATCGATGAATATGAACCCAGAGAGGTTCGGCCCCAACCTAAGCCGAAAGTCCAAGTGACTAGGGCCGCCGCTGAGGCCAAGCCAGTTCTCCAACCTCCAACAAAGATGGAGCCTCCAAAGCCTGTGACCGGCAAGAGATCCTTAGGTGAGATGCAAAACGGCCATTGTCGTGGTTCCAGCGTTGCTTCGATTGAGTTGTCTATCCCTTCGAAGCCTACTGTCGGCCCGTTTGCAGATAATCGTCCCCAAGCATTCACCGGTCGTGCTGCTAGCCGGCTCTTCGGTGGTGAACCCGTCGCATCTGGTGTTCAGCCCTCCAACGTGACCTCAGCGATTCGGTCCCAAATGGTTTCGTCAACTGCAACAACACCTGGCGTTATAACCGGTCTAAGCAAGGAAGTACACGGTCTTCAACGTCAGGTCTTGAAGCGTAATAGTACTGCGACTTCACAGGACTTTAGTTCTCGCCGTAATGGAGAGACAAACGTCCGAGATGAAGTTCCAGCCAAGCGCTCTTTTAGCACCATGAGCCGCACTTCGAGCCGAAAGCTTGATATGATTGAAGAGACTGCAAGCGCCAAGGATACTCAGGCTGTCTCTAAGGCGGTTCCACGCGTGGCGAAGCGAGAGACTGCGCAGCCAAAGAAAGCCGAGCTGAAGCCTGGTTACTGCGAGAACTGCGCAGAGAAGTATGCTGATTTCGATGAGGTATGCTTCAGCTTATCACTTTACCCTTATATGTCAACTACTAACAGTATATTTAGCATATTCTCACCAAGAAGCATCGCAAGTTCGCTGATGATGATGAAAACTGGGGGGAGCTGGATGATCTCCTTTCCCAACTACAACGTGCACCTAGGCACAAGTCTTTCGCATCTTGGACGCCCACTCTGGCTGATTTTGAAGAAGCTTATTAGTTTGCTCACGGCTCCTGCATTTTGGAGATGCTAATAGCTTCCGACATTCCTCTACGCCCTAATTGCTCACCGATCATACACCTCCAGGCACATAGAATATCGTGGACCTGTTTCTAATTTCGGCATTCGCGGCGCGATGATACCCATTTTTCTTTACTTTTCTTCCGGCTTCCCAAGCCATCTCTGTTCAATACAATGATTGGAGTTGATCCGTTTCCCAAAAGTTAAACGGAAAAGGCATAACTGCATGGCAAGGAGTCTTAGCATTTCGGTTCTACTTTTCACATCTGGGTGCTACACCCTGGCATCGTGCATTTTCTCGGCGAAGGGCGGTTTTATTTTCTCCGAATTTCCACAAGTTCTCGGCTGGCCTGGTGGTAGGGGCGTTCGATCTGCACAGTTCTAAGGGGGGGTTTAGGACTCGGACGGTACCCTCAAGTCGCCTGATCCAGATGACCAGGTCAGACTTTGCAACAGCATTCGACACTGATGAAGCAACGGTGCAATCATATGATCCATAGATCATGTATGTATAAGTAGTAGTCTACGAATAAAGAATCGATGCAAAATTCAGAAATTAAGTAATGGTTATTCAACAAGTCGTAGCAATCTTCCATAAGTGACCGTTTCTCTTAATGACTCTCGGCTCTGGGTAATATAGTCACCCTCGAATGAAACTTGTGAAGCTCATATTCTATCGCTTTCAACCGAGACATTCGGCAAAACAAAGTTAGAACGGAGACTCATTTGCTGATGCTACAATGATGCTACAAGATTCAGCTGCACTGGGAGATATCCCCTGCTTCGCCCGTATAGGTAACTTACACGTACGCTAGGCAGTAGCCCGTGCCGGCCATGTAACACAAGGGATAGTACCTACCGATTATAGTGCGACACTGAATTAGCGCACACGATACTTTTCTGCCCCTACGGATTCTGAACAGCATACCATTTCACAACATCTATCGCAGTAAGTCTTTATTAATATAGTTGTTTTCCAAGGTTCCATGCGGATCGCCTATTATGCTATACATATCTGCTTGAATACCTAGTACCTAACCAAACTGGAACTTTTTCTCTTTAGCCCGTGGGTTTAGAACTCATGCGACGAATATTAATATAGCAATTGGTATACCCACCTAGCCTTGGGTTTTATTAGGTGATGTTAGTGTTGGTCATTTAAGCACTTGTGTATTGTATAGGTGCACTAGCTTAGCGTTGTAGGCAGCTATAATATAGAGAAGCTAGCCGTTTAGAAGGGCCCCTGTAAATATTACAACAAGGGCCACTCGTCATTGTGTTATAGTGGCTAATAGGGTTAATTATAATAACTGAAAATGGGTGTAATAACCTGTGGTATTGGGGTGGCTGAAATCAACGGCACTAGGCAGTACCTATAGTTGACTGCTAATTTGAGAGGTTAAGACGCGCTGTTCTCAGTGTTAGGTACTGAAAAGAGGTACTCAACACAGGGCCTAAGCCCTCCATAGTTCAACAAGTAAATACAGCATCCCACAGGAATGTTAGGTGCGTTTTACTGATAGTCTCAGAGACTACCTACCTAAACTATTACTCAGAAACTACCGATTCAACTAACTAGCCCTGGAACATCTTCAGCTAAAGTAAATTTTTTCTAGTAAAGAAATTATGACTAACGTGGGCCAACAACGCTAAGAGGATTAGGGCATATAAGAGATTTTTGGGCATATCTATTTTTATACAACCCGAGTTTAAAATGAAGTCCGAATTGGTGTAGTGGCTAACATTTGGTGCTCTCACCTTCAGATGTGTGTAAACTACTATCTGGAGTGATCCGCCAAGCCCGGGGTTCGATTCCCCGATTCGGAGTTCTTTTTTTGCTTCCTATAGGTACCTGGGTAGGTAGATATAATGTGTTATTGATGGGTTGGCGAGGACTAGCTAATTGCCTCCCTTATACCTTCACTGAACCTTAGAAACTATGTACAAACTCATATTTGTTTTTTGAATGTCCCGAATATCTCATTTTCCCAATTTCTATCATATACTCCTATTTACTTTAAGACAACCTGGTGACTATCTATAACGAAATCGTCCTCCGTAATGCCTATGTCGAAACCATCAAGTTCGGCGCCCTCTGGACATCTGAAGATACTAACGTCCGGGGTAAGATTCGAGAAACAGCGCTCGCCATCGATATTCTTAGATTTAAGAATACAGCTGTCGACAAAGCCAACCCTTTCATAGAGATTTCCTCCCATTTTCACAATAAGACCTAGGCGACGAGCGAATCGTTTTTCTCCAAGAAGAAACGGAATTTTGACAAGAAATACAACAAACAATGACGACTCGTTATTACCTCGTTCTTTGACGTCGAATCCCCCTTCTAACCACAATTCCTGCGACTGATGCTGGAAGCTGAAAACCATATCGGTAGCTGGAGAGAACTGGGGCTCCGGCAGCCATTTTTCTGTATTCGTAGGTTGTTTCGCCAGCCTCTCGTGATGTCCTGTGATTGCTACCATTGGGGCAGTTAGATGTAACGTGCCGTCAGCCAAAGAATGCTCGATATAGCAAGCTACAGGCTCGAATTTCACTAGTTTAATTTCCCATCCTTCGCAATAATCGTACCAAGAGTATATGGGAAATCGAACAGGTCCTTTGACAGAAACCCAAGACCAGGACGGGCCGGTCCTAGTTTGTGGGTGTTGCAGTCCGTCCTTACTTGCGGCGCACCATGTCAATCCTTCCAGCAGGCCCCCAAACCAGATACCCGCGATATAGTCGTCACCAGTGATCGCACCAAGTGCGTTGGCCACACCAAGTAACGCCGGTAACCGGTCCGAGTCCTTAGTGATGTTGCGTGTAGTGTATTGCTCCACCATACGGTACCAATCAGCATATCTCACAACCGTCTCACGACGACGTGGTAGAAGGTCCGTGTTCCATGGCGTTGGTAAAATATCGCCGAAAACAGATATGCCGGTGTTGGCTGTCTGCAAGATACGCGACAATTGATCACCCTCCTCATAGATCGATTCGCCATCTTCACTCGCACGTAGTTCTGCGCATTCCCACGCTGTCTGTGTGCTCCCGTACATCAACATACGTCGCGCGAGATACCTCTCTTGTAGGCACCATGCTCGATCGCTCAGGGGTTCATTTTTCATCATATCGGTGCCGGTGGTCCATCGGTGGAGTAAAGGGGGTAGCGCGGAGAACGTAAAGTTGCCGAATACTGTATAACCTGGTGATTTGTGCCTGGGAGATAGGAAACCCTGGGTATCTGATTCCCCTCTTGTAGCGCCTAGGACTAAATGGGCGTTGCGATATACATCTGCCATCTGAGCAGCTTCTTGTTCCCAGTCGTTGGCGTCATCTTGTATGATGCATAAGCTGTCGATCCACAGGTACCGCAGCTCAAATTCTTGGACGATTTTTATCGCATCTTTGAATGTTTGAGGTAGGGACTCCAACTCCATGCCGCTCTTATGATCCTCTAAATTTTCTCGTGTGGTGGCGATAGTCTGAGTTGTACCCCAGCAATGACTTAATGCGACATATCTTGTATCCGTGGTTGGTTCTCTATGGGCGTCATTGCTCTCCCTAAGAACTACATAGCCTGGGTAGTTCGGATTGCCGATATCTAGAATTCTTGATGGCATCTTGAAATTCCCGTCCCCTTGGCGACAAGAAGAATGTTTGGAAGTACATGTCTCCAACCACGACCTAGCGATTGTGACAGATTCGACGGACGTTGGGCTCTCCGGTACTGTCCAATCCATATCAAGATAACCGTAAGTATCGTCACCCAAGCTCTTCGCAATCTTCAACTCTGCGAACAATTCATGGTGCACATCCCACTCAACTGCCGACTCTGGTATGCAGGCTGCGCGTAACACATAGCTCCACCTCTGACGTCCGTCGTCTGCACGTTCTAGTCGTAGTACCACAGTTTGGACTTTGCCATTGTTATATGCAGATATATTCTGGACATCGGCGTCTAGGTCTTCTGGTGGAACATGAGGGTCTATCATCCCGTCTTTCGAGCTGTCGACGATAGCCGCAGCGCGGTAATCTTGCCAGCCCTTGGCTACCGCGATACACAGCCCGCACTGCGATTCCTTGGCGCAATGGAAGACATCGCGGGCAAGATTATGCCATCCATACATCCAGCCAGCCTCATCATCGTCGGGCCGGCCGGTCCCCTCCGTGTGTTGCAATTGGTAGATAGCGCGCGGGATGTCGAGACGGAGGCATTCTTCGCAAGAGGGAGACGTGGTCACGCCTGTCGTCACCAACGTCATGTTGGCAATACCGAAAAGGGCGCTATAAATTAATTGGGGATACAAGATCCTGATCGCCAATAGACCAATGATATCAGCGGATCGCAGGTACTAAAAAGTGCAATTCCTTCTGTAAGCGAGCTGACACGGGCACATGGTACGTCTAAGCGGTCGTACCCCCACCCTCGTTGCTTTTATATCAGTATAACGTATTCGATGACATTAGAAGAGGGTTCGGTATGACAAGAATATCGGCTTAACTAATTGCTAGCCTTTTGTGTGTATAGAGAGTTTTGATTTCGTGATAATACCATATACTAATACCAAGTTTCCTTGTTCGGCACATTCTAGAAATCATATGCTTCTAAGCATACCCTATTAATACTTCCGTCAACGTAAGTTGGCTGTCGAATGAAGAAATTTTGGATGCACGAGAACACTGCGCCGTCTTACTATTCAATCTACCACTCTGCATCCGGCTTGGAAATCCGCGAGGCTTTATGTTGATTGGCTGTTTGGTTCTTTAGCTACGGTCGTCTTGTCACTGTGACTAAGTTGTGCTTTTTATTGTGAAGTTGGTTGGGTGGCACTTCGTCGATGTGGCACGTATCATGAAGGTGACTTACACATCGGCGCTGACACCACTATGCACATAAATGCGGCCATGGTTGCAACCTTAGCTGAGAGCTTCCCCGGAAGCCTACCCTATTTATTGAAAATCCACAATTGCTAGATTAAAAAAGTTGATATTGTTGCACTTACTACCCATTATTCTAACCCTACTATCATCAATGGAGGGCCTGGATTTAGTCTTGAACAAACTTGAAGCCTTCAAGGCTGCCGATTTTGAGGGCTACAATACAGAGAGGCTGCGGATGCTGGCGACTGCCCGAAAACTGGTTAGCCGTCTGCAGTCAAATGGAGAAAAGGCTTATGAAATCGCATACCAGCAGTCTCTTGTAGACGCAGCGCTGAGAGTCTGTCTTGATATTGGCCTTTGGCATGGATGGACAGCAGCTGGCGGAGGAGAGAAGCCCGTTGAGGAATTGGTAAAACTGACGACACAAGCCTGCGAGCTAAACCTACTTCGTATGTATATCTATTAATATTCAGTCAAGCCATGATCAAAAACTGACGGTTATAATAGGTCGCCTGCTTCGACTCTTGGGGGCCGCAAATATCATTGAAGAAACAGGGGAAAATCGGTACAAACCAACTAGTTTCTCACTTTCCATCGGCGATGATTCTACTTGTATGGCACAAGCAATAATTTCAAAGTAGGGTTTGCTTATCGACCCAGACTTCGCAGTTGCTGATGTGTTATAGGACCGACCATTGGGATATGTCCCACCTGAATCTGCCGTCGTTCCTAGCCAAAACATCGTACCGAGAGCCCAAGGATGCGAAGAACACAAGCTACATCGACGCAAGTCCGGAAAAGCTTCCCATCTTTGACAGATTTCTAACCAAAAAGAGTTACCGAGATAGCCTTAGGGGCTTCTTGTTTGAGTACTCAAAGTATAGGGTTTCGTGGCCGGAATTTTACGACACAGTGTCTCTTATCGAAGGTGCGGACTTGACCTCTGGTAGCCCGCTTGTCGTCGATGTCGGAGGTCTCCACGGTGCGGATCTCATCAAGGTTCTGGATAAGCATCCAGATCTCCCTGCCGGTTCTCTGGTTCTCCAAGACCTGGCTGGCGCCATCTCAGGTGTCACACTGAGCACGGATAAGATCAGACTTATGGAATATAATTTCTTCACACCGGAACCACTTCATGGTAAGATTTCCGTCTATACCAGATTCTCGTTCTCGTCAGCAAATATGAGTCGGGACTGATGATGTATGACAGGAAGCCGCGCATATTTCTTACATATGGTACTTCACGACTGGCCGGATGAATTGGCAGTTCAGATTCTGCAAAATCTCAAGCCAGCATTGAAAAGGGGATATTCTAAGATCCTCATATGTGAAATCGTGATGCCACGTACGGGCGCGAGTATGTACCAAGCATCTTTGGATGTGAGCTTGAGTATGTTGAGCCGAAAGTTCCTTTTCCCACCCTCTCTCGAGTAAATGTCTCTCAATTAAATTAACAGAGAAGTCGTTACTCCGGAGACATGCCCGAGTCCCCCTTTGTACAAAGATATGCTAACTCTTGTGAAAGTGGCGAACCTTTCTGCCTATGAGAGAACCGAAGCTGAATGGAAGAAGGTCATAAATGAGGCCGGGCTGGAGATGGTTTCTGTAACGATGGACCCTCGAGGCTTCGAGGGTGTGATCGAGGTGGAGCTGGCGTAACCAAGTCGCATCAAGAATCACTGGTCTAGACTGTAATGAACTGGTACCTAGGACCTAGGTACTCACGTAGCCGTCTCTCGAGAACTACTTAGTAGCTTTATTTAATTAATTCGGTAAATACTTCTAGTTGCGGCATCGCAAGATTTTGTGGCTGGGTTGTTTTTGTAGTTGAAACTTTTAAAATTCGATTGTTTGGTTGTTTCCTAAGCCATTAAAGTTATTGAGGGAGTGAGAATAAAGGGGGGGGGTAAAAGGGGGGTATTGTTACACAAAGTGGGGTTATA